TAATAAAATATAAAAAAGGCCTGGGGATGTGGTTTGGTGGTTAAGAGCCCCTGGGTTCAATCCCTGGTGCCCGCCCCCCCCCAAAAAAAAAAGAAGAAGAAATGGTTTGAGGCAGCTCTCTCAAGTATTTCACAAATAATACCAAGCCAGTAGGGGTAGTAAACCCAGTAGGTGAAAAACCTGGAAGCAGGAATGTGAATGGGAGGAATGGGAGAGTGGGGATGGGGATGAGGTAGGTAGAGGCCAGGGCTGCTGCTAAACATCCTACAACGCAAGGGACAGTCCACTACAATGAAGAATTATCAGGTCCAAATGTCAACAGTGCTGAGGCTGAGAAACTCTTGCACTGTATCTATCTATGAAAGATGACATGTTAGCTGGATGTTCTGGTGTAGGCCTACAGTCCCAGATGCTGAGGCAGCTGAGGCAGGAGGATCACTTGAGCCCATGAGTTTGAGAGACCAGCCTAGACAACTTGGCAAGACACAATCTCAAAAAAGAAAAAAAGAAAAAGATTAAATTCATGAAATGTTCAAACTGTCATGGAGGCTGACAGTATTTAGTAGAGTAATGAACTGAATGACTTATTGTCTCATGAACAAATTCATTTATCCAAACTTCTGTGAATGATTACTCAGAAGCTCTCAAGTATTCCATTTTAAGAGGAAAATCTACAAATTTAAATTACTATATGAATTTATTGATTTAAAAATAGAATGGAAGCAGACATCATTACTGTCATTACTAATGTGAACCCTTGGGGCTTTGCTGAGAGCCAAGAGCCTGGTCCTAATGGGCCAAATCTGTTTATGGAATTGAAAAACCTGAACTTAAGAGAGAGAAATCCTTCCTCTACAAAGGAAAAACTGACATCAAACCACAAGAAGAACTGGATGTAAGAGATGGAGATAAAGCCCACTCTGAGGGTATCCTGGTTACTGAGTCTATTCATCCCTGTAGTCTGGTAACTGAGTCAGGAAATTACCCTTTTTTGCTAAAGCCAACTTGAATTAGATCTGTCACCTGCAACCAACAGTGTCTAATACATCACTTGATTAATGTAGGCATATTAATATATTCTTAATATACTTTAAGAATTAGCAATAATGTGATGAAATATGAAGATTGAACTTGACATTTTTTTTAATTACAAAGTTTAAGGTAGAAATCCTAAGTCATGCATTCAACCAACATCTATACCCTAATGTATATTAAATATCCTGTGTTAGGTGCTGGGAACATAAAGACAAAATAAAACCAAAACCCCCAAATAACCAAAAAAACAAAACAAAACAAAACAAAACAAAACAACAACACCATGTTTCCCCTTTCAAGGAACTCTCACTTGAGTTGGGAGGACAGAAGGGTTCCATGTGGACAGAAAGGTTCCATGTGGTGTGAATGCTACACAGAAGCAAGGACATCTTGTGGGAGTACACAGGAGGGGTGCTTAACTCTGATGGGTAGGGAATAGCCTAGAGGTGGTAACTGTCTAATAAAATGAGTCTTTTTTTATGGTATGGGGGATTGAACCCAGGGTTATGTGCATGTGAGGCAAGCACTCTACCAACTGAGCTATACCCCCAGCCCTAAAGTGAGTCTTAAAGGCCACCAGGTGGGTGAAGCAGGGACTAAGAAGGGCAGTTTAGCCAGAGAGAGCATGCTCCAAGAGGCTGGGTGCAAAGGAACAGTAAGGTAAATTTGGTATCTTGGCAGCAGGGAATTAGGATGAAATGTGAGGTGCAAGGGGTGGCATTGGCAGTGGGATGAGACAGTGGCCAGAAAGGAGACTGAAGGGGAGGCTGGGGGTTGTGTCTTGACGGCCTTGGTGAAAAATTGAGACTTTACCCTGGAATCTTTGGGGAGCCACTAATGAATTTCATGCAGGTCGTCAACATTGTGTGTATTAGAAACAGCACTCTCTAAGGGGGGATAATAATAGTTATCTGGCAAGGTGGCCACAGAGATTATAGGTATTTAAAGTGGTGATTACTGTGCTCAAAGATAGTCAAGTCAAAACATGCACCCTCATTCTGTTCTGGACAGTGTTAAAACCTCAAGAGCAGAGCATCCATTAGTAGGTGGGATTATTGAAAATTTTTACCAGAGGTTTAGACTTGCTCCAAGATAATCACCAGATCTGTAATAATGTGACATCTAAATTCCAAGTCAGTCTTGGACCTGACAGACCATTCAGGTTCCCTCCAAATCAGGACATTTTTTTTTTTTAAAGAGAGAGTGAGAGAGATAGAGGTAGAGAGAGAGAGAATTTTTTAATATTTATTTTTTAGTATTTGGCGGACACAACATCTTTGTTTGTATGTGGTGCTGAGGATCGAACCCGGGCTGCACGCATGCCAGGTGAGCGCGCCACCGCTTGAGCCACATCCCAGCCCCCAAATCAGGACATTTTAAATGAAGATGGAGTCTTCAATATCATTCTACAACTAAAGGGTCTCCAATAGTCACTCTGAAGTTTTTTCATTAGCTGAGAATGGGGGAATAAAGTAGTCTATAACTAACTACCTATGAATTGAGTTTTACTTGAGGCTTATTTAACTCAATGTTTTTGGACTAAAAACAAATGCTAAAGAATGCTTCTTCTGGGTCAAAAGAGGAAAAGTTAAGGAAAAATTACTTCATTGCAACGTAAAATATCAAATGAATCTATTCTATGTTAAAGCAAGGACAGAGAGGGGACAAGTGGGGACAAGTGGCACCCAGGCTGCCAAACCATTGCAAGATTTCTTTCTGGAATGATAGGTCACTGGGTTATGTGGAGAATTTCACTTTGTGACCGATTTCAAGGGACCACTTACAACATTTACTTAGTCTAGTTATTTAGAAATTTTAAGGAGATAAAAGAAATTATTTGGGAAGCAATTATTTAAAAATGAATCCTTCAGTTTAAAAATAATGAAATTTATGTCCCTATCAGAAAATACTAATTTTGCATTGAAGGCAGAGCTTATCTAAAATTAGATGAAAATGGAAAGCATATGGAAAATACAGTATTTTATTAGTTAAGGGTGAAAGTAATATCCATTTGTAAGTTAATGCTTTTTTCCTCTTTATTTTTACCAGATTGTCAGTTTTTAAGGCTTTAATCACTAGAACATGTTTTTTCATGAAAATCATAATTATTAACACTTTTCCAGGTAACTGAAACTTATCAACAATTTAAAATATTTTTTCTTATACGAAGTTTAAATAAACCTATGCCTGGTATGTGTTTATATAGGAAACTTTAAAAAGAATATAGTTTCCTTGGGTTGGGATTGTTAGAGGGGAAGAAAGGGGCTAACACTTTTATTTTATATCTTTTGGTACAATCTAATATTTTTAAGTTTACATGAGCATGAATTGTCTTAATAATTAAAAGAGCCAGGGTTGAAGTTGTAGCTCAGTGGTAGAGCACTTGCCTAGCATGTGTAAGGCACCGGGTTCGATTCTCAATACTGGACATAAATAAAATAAAGGTTCATTGACAACTAAAAATGATTTAAAAAATAATTAAAAGAGTTCGATTAAAAATGTTTTAAAACATGTGTATCTTAGTTATTAAATAGCTATATAAATTTTCTCCTATTTAATTTCTTACATTTTGAAGTCACAGTATACCCACACATTAATAATATGTTCTATATCAATTCTATTAAAATATATGCAAATGACCTTGAAATGATCATACAATCCATTTCCTACAAGGGCTGATGTAATCAAAACCATAGCATTATTGTCTATATATATATATATATATATATATATATATATCCAGAAGATCCAATAAAAGAAAGTTTAGCCTGAAGTAGTTTTATGTTCCTGAATAATTTTTTAAAAAATTTCTACATGTTTAACATTTGCTCCTTCAAAGTACATCCCCTAGCACAGTATAAAATCCAATTAATAATTTATTTTCCCATTTTTAAAATGTAAAAGGGATTGAATAATTTATTTTTTCAAGTAAACTCTTTGACTCAAAAGTTAAATCTAATTCTATATGTTAGTCTCCAAGTGAGGCTAAAACTCTTGAAAATTTCTGAAAGATTACTTTAAAAAAGACTTTTAATAAGGATGATGTTTTAATTATGTCATCAATTATGAACCTCATCTTCACAAGAGCTGCATTTTTTTCCCTGTAACCTTGGGCAAATTATTTAATCTACCTAAGCTTAAGTTTCCTCACCTTTAAAATGGGAACAATTATAGGACCTAGTTCATAAGGTTGTTATGAGGATCAAACATGTCAATGCATGTAAAGTACTTAATGTAGTCTGTAGGACATAACAATCAATATCTATTAGCTCTTATTTTGTTATATTTTACTATTGTTTTAATAAGTTTAACATTTCCCAAGATAAGCTCTAGCTTTTGAAATACACCACTTTAACATACTTGGTAGAACACATTCTTCCCAGTTTTTATATTAGCAGTTTAATTTTAACTTCCAGTACAATTAATCTCATCTTTTCTGTCATACAACACAAAACTAAGTGTGAAGTACATTTATTTCAGTTTCTGTATTTAGTACTATTCATTAGCTAACATTTATGTATCTCACTATAGCTAAGTACCACTAAGAATAGCAATGCTAACAACAAATGCCTGTTTGAAAGGGTCATCCTTTAACATAATTCTGAAATGAATGACATGTCAGAAAATGGTTCCAACAATTAAATGTGCAAAATACTGGTTTCCCACAGAAAGAAAGTAAACTCACATTCTCACATTCTAATGCATAATTGTAAATTTTAAAACAGTCTCAGTTTCCTCTTGGAAGAGACTAATTAGATTAATGCATTAATAATAGCTTAGGCAAATAAAACACACCCCATTTTAAAATAAAATTTGAAGATAGAACTTGTGAATGAGCCTAAAAGTACTTGAGCTGATTTCAATCAAGAGGATCATTTAAATAGAGATAAATTTCCTAGTGTTTCTTTTTAACTTCTGCTGCCTATATATTCTGAAGATATAACAAGAAGTCAGCTGTACAGTACCTTGATCAGGTTGTGTCCCACTGTGTAGACAGCTGCTAAATTTCCCTTCTCTCCAGGAGCATGCAGACCTGTGTTATATCCATGCCAAGCAACTAGATATGGGTTGTGAATTGTAATCCAGTATTTGACACGGTCCCCAAACGTCTGGAAACAGTATGTGGCATAGTCATTGAAGATATCAACCATAGATTCATTCTTCCATCCCCCATATTTTTCTTGCAACGCCAAAGGCAAATCCCAATGGTACAAAGTCACTACAGGTTTAATGTTTCTAAGTACTAGAGCGTCCAGAAGAGTATTATAATATTGCAGACCTTTTGCGTTGGCAACTGCTGCTATTCCATCGGGGAAAAGCCTCGGCCAGGAAATTGAAAACTGATAAAAAGAAACTCCTATAAAATCCAGAGCCGATAAGTCTTTTTCCAGAAAAATGTAACTGTCACTGGAACCATTCGTGCTGTTGACATTTTTAAGGTGTGTATGGATGAAATGATCCCATACAGAGGGTCCTTTTCCATCCTTCTTCCAACTCCCTTCCACTTGAAATGCTCCAGTCCCAACACCCCAAAAAAAGTTTTTAGGGAAAGTGTCATAGAGAAACAGCTGACTTGCATTTACAGGACTAAAATTAGGATTTTTAGACCATATAGCTCTTCCGTCTCCAGAGAGGCCAGTAACAGCTTGTAGCAGAATAAATGCTGACAGGATGACAGATCTTTGCAGCGCACCGTTGGACATTGTTTTCCTATAGCGTATGTGTCTTTCATCGGCTCTGAAGAAAATCCATTCATTCCCTGGAGACCCTGCTGCACAGCCTGGCTTCATTTGCCACTAACTGTTGGTCTGTCTTATCAACGCGTTAGCAAAAGCCTGTGATTGTAAAGCTCTGTCAATGATTAGCTTGAACTGTGAGACTCAGGATGGGTCCTGGAGAGCCACGTAACTTGAGGGAGGTGGCCCTATTGCAGTCACCCACATGTTTCGTCCTCTCATGTTATGGGAAAAATTAGACGAAAATGCATGGGTGACAACAGTTTGGATGTGTAACTCAAACATATGTGAACAGTGAATAAAGAATGGCATTTTCTGTGTAGCCTTTCACATTGACGCAAATCTTTTGAACATTATTGAATAAGTATATACCTTGGCTATTTTTAGAGTTTTTGAATGGTAATTTTATTATTTCATATTTCAGGAAAAACCATCTTATATACAAGTCAATAGCATTTCTGTATACCAATAATAAATAAGACATAAGACATTATACTTCCATAAAAATCATAAACACAACTAAGAATAATCTGAATAAATATTACCAACTGTATTAACAGATTTGAAAGAAGATTTGAATGGAGAAATATAGCACTTTCTAGATGAAACATGAATACTTTCCAATTTAATTTACAAATTTAGTGTACTTTTCACCAAAATCCCTTAATTTCAAATTTAGTTCAGTTAGATTATTGAGAAAGGTTACTTGAAGAATAAATAGGTAGAATTACAAAAAGTAAAGAAGAAAACCTGAAAGAGAAATAGTGAGGTCATAACTGCTTTCAGACCACAACAATTTAAACAGCATGATTCTGGAACAAGAATAAACAGAAAGAAGTATTGTACAGAGGGCTGGGGCTGTAGTTCAGTCCTCTCCTGTTATGGGAAAAGTTAGACGAAAATGCATGGGTGACAACTGTTTGGACGTGTAACTCAAACACAGTACTTGTCTCACACACATGAGGCACTGCGTTTGATTCTCAGCACCATATAAAAATAAATAAATAAAAATAAAGATATTGCGCCCATCTACAACTACAAAAATATTGTTAAAAATTGTCCAGAATTTCTAGCTTTCAAATAACCTTTAAAATTTTTTAATGTTTTAAATATTTTAATGTTTTAAATATTTGAAATATTATGTATTAATGAGGCATAGTGGTTAATAGTTCAAGCCAGGCCACCTAGTTTAAATATCGAAACTTTCTGTACTGCAATTTCCTCTTATGTAATAATAATAATAATAATAACTCATGGATTATTATGAAGTTTAAATGAATTAATACATCTAAGGCACTTAGAGAATGACACATACTAAGTGCTCAATAAATATATTCTATCTGAAAGGGAAAATTTCAGAGAAGTGATGCTCAGATTTAGCATAGAAGACACTTCTTTTCTGGCTCATTTTGAACTTTGTTCCTTATAAGACTACACACAGTATAAGAAATAACTTTAATAAGTTGTACACATCCAACTCACTGATATCCCTGTACATTGGTGTGTGCGCTCTGTGTACAATTGGTTTCTTCCTTTATCCAGCTCATGTCTATTTTTTAACACCCAGTTACCTCTTCCGGAAAGCTTTTCTGACTCCGAAATGCAATTAGATTTAGGTGAATCTCCTCTATGTTTCCATGGCAGCCTATGTTTTTTTCTATTATGGCATTTATCACCCAATAAATCACACAGTATACCACACAGTACATTTATCTGTGTCCTCTGTTGGACTACAGACTTCCTCCCCCTCCCTTTTTCTTTAAAAATCAAAACAGGAGCAGAGTGTGGTGGCATGTGTCTGTGGTCCCAGCTATTCCAGAGGCTGAGGCGGGAGGATCAAGTCCAGCCTGGGCAATGCAGGAAGAACCTCACCTCAAAAGCAAAACCTGGGCTGGGATTGTGGCTCAGTGGTAGAGCGCTCACCTAGCCCTGGGTTCGATCCTCGGCACCACATAAAAATAATAAATGAATGGAATAAAGATATTGTGTCCAACTACAACTAAAAAAATAAATATTAAAAAAAAAAAGCAAAACCCAAGGGGCTGGGGCTGTAGCTCAGTGATAGAGCATTTGCTCCTCACATGTGAGGCACTGGGTTCAATCCTCAGCACCACATAAAATAAATAAATAAATAAATAAGATTTCACTCTTCCCTCCAAAATACTTAAAAAAAGAAGAAGAAGAAAAAGAAAGAAAGAGTGAAAGAAACAAAATGGATCATAATTGTTTTGTTTCCTATTAAATATTTGGGACTTACCACTGTACTTGACATACAGTAATCACCAAAGTATACATTGAATAAATGAATATATCATAGTATATACTACCTGTACCTGTCTATCATTGCATTTATCACCTAATACTGGAGTTGTTTGTCTCCTCCACTAGACTGTAAGATTTACTTTTAATTTTTTTTTTCAGTACTGGGGTTTGAATCCAAGGGTATGCTGAGCCCTTTTTATCCTATTTTATTATTATTACTTTTTTGCAGTCCTGGGGATTGACCCAGTGCCTCCTGTATGTTAGGCAAACACTTTGCCACTGAGCTACATCCCCAACTCCCCTTTTGTTTTTTTTATTTTTGAGGCAGGGTCTCACTAAATTGCCAAGGTTGACTTCGTTCTTGTGATCCTCCTGCCTCAACCTCTCAAGTTGCTGGGATTACAGGTGTGCACCCCTGCACTTAGCTTTTTTTTCTTTAATGTATATATATTTTTAGTTGTAGTTGGACACAATACCTTTATTTATTAATTTATTTTTATGTGGTGCTGAGGATCAAACCCAGCGCCTTGCACACTGTGCTAGGCAAACGCTCTACTGCTGAGACATAAAACCAGCCCCTGCACCTAGCTTTTATCTAAATTCCTATCATTGCTTATCAGAATAAATGCTTATAATTGCCTGTTGAATAAATGGAGTCAGTACAATTACCATTCATGAAAATAAAAAATGTAATAATTTATTTATTTTTTAGAGAGAGAGAGAATTTTAATATTTATTTTTTAGTTTTGGGCGGATACAACATCTTTGTTTGTATGTGGTGCTGAGGATCGAACCCGGGCCGCACGCATGCCAGGCGAGCGTGCTACCGCTTGAGCCACATCCCCAGCCCTAAATGTAATAATTTAGACCCTCACATATATTTAATTAAAAACTATATAGCCACAAAAATTAGTAACAAATTAGTAAATTAGTAGTTAAATTTTGAATTATGTATATTTTGCCAAAAGAACAAAACAGAAGTAAACATTAAATTATATATACAGTTTATATACAACTATACAATGATATTTACAGAAAAATAATATGTAGGGCTGGGGATATGGCTCAAGTAGTAGTGCACTTGCCTGGCATGTGTGAGGCACTGGGTTCGATCCTCAGCACCACATAAAAATAAAATAAAGATATTGTGTCCACCTAAAAGCTAAAAAATAAATAAATAAATATTAAAAAAATAATATGTAAATCATGTAACTATAATTAAAATATACAACAAAATTTAAATTTAAAACCAGAAATTACAAATAAGAAACTGGGAAAATATTAAGGTAAATCTAGAAGGAAAATGGCCAAAGGGAGGGAAATTGTCACCAGAGGAGGGTCCAAGTCAGTCCCCAAGAGGGGGATCTCAGCTCTGGATGACAAGGTCCTTGGCATATGTGTCAGAAAAGAATTTTAGCACATGTCACATATTGAGGCACAGACAGATTATTTAGGAAAGCAAGGAAGCACTCAAAGGGGAAGAGAGAGTGTGGGCTGCTTTTGAGAGTGAGAAGCAACCTTTTGGTCTGGGTTATTAATATTTATAGAGAGACAGAAGCTAGGGGCTGGACTAGGGGTGAAATCAGGTTGGGGTTATACAATTTCCCGCCAGTTTTCCTTGTGCTTGTGTATTGCCCTTGAATCATGCTACTTTCTGCAGGTGGGGATGTGGACACCAGGACACAGCTGAGTTGCTCCCAAGTTGCTTGTTTTGTATTCTAATGGTTTATGGGCACTTATCTTTTAAGACTCAGTATATCTTCTTTCCTCTGTATCTTGCAAATTCCTACAGCAAAATGGTCATAATTTCTGCAAATCAAGAAGAAAAAATAAATATCTAACAAATAGTCATATAACATGGATCCAATCACACAAAAATGAATGTAACTATATAATTAATGAAAAAATATTTAAGTCATGGGTAATTAAAAGTACATATAAGGCTGGGGATGTGGCTCAGTGGTAGAGTGCTTGCGTAGCATGTGCGAGGTCCTGGGTTCGGTCTCCAGCACTGTAGAAAACAAACAAAAATTAGAAAGAGAAAAATATCAGGACAATAAATTGAATAATCAGTATTACTATAATGATATAATAAGAGCAGGAGCCAACAAGGAATTTTTTAAAAATACCCATTTTATTTCCATATTGTGTTTGGATGACAAACTATGGGTTATAGTAATTTCCCTCCTTTTGTATATTTAATTTTACTTTTTACACCCCCCCCTTTTTGGTACTGGGAATTGAACCCTGGGGTGCTTTACTACTGAGTTATATCCCAGTCCTTTTTATTTTTAATTTTTTACTTTTAATAAGAAAATAAACATAAAAAGCAACAAGTCAATATTAGATATACAAGTTTCTTGATGAGAAAGTAGATACTTTCTCACTAAGATTAGGAGTAAGGCAAGGATTTCTATTATTATCACTACTATTCAACATTATACTGGAAATCCTGGCTGAGGCAATATGACAGGAAAAGGAAATAAAACATACAGATTGGGGTGTTCGCAGTTGCCCCTGCGTGGCCTCTATCTTGCCAAGCTCCTGCCGAAGAAAAAGTGGAGTTAAGTAAGAAGGCCTTTCTACCATGGCTTGTACAAAGCCGAATGCCAGCAAACACGGTTGCTAAAGCACTCAGGAAACAACTGGCTGCAAAAGCCGCTTGCAAGAGTGCCCCCTCTACTGGAGGGGTGAAGAACCCTCATTGTTACAGGCCTGGTACTGTGGCACTCCGTGAAATTAGACGGTATTAGAAGTCCATTGAACTTCTGATGCGCAAACTTCCCTTCCAACATCTGGTGCTAGAAATTACTCAGGACTTCA